AGTTTGTTCAGAGTGGACTTCTTTATCCACTTCTTTTTTTTTTTCTCCCAGCAGGATGCAGTTCATTCTTTATACAAAGTTTCATCTCACCCCTATTTTAAAATGTATCTTATTGATAAATAACTTATAAACTGGAATTTCAAAATAATCATATTATTAATTATTATTATTTTATTAATTTGTTATATATATTTTAAAGGATGTTACTTGTTATCTGGACAAAGTAATGGTGTAGACTTAATGTACTTAGATTTTCATTAACTTTTTGTTAAAGTGTCGTACAAAAGATTAGCTAAAAAATCACATTGATAGGAATTAGGGAAAGACGAGGTAATTAAATTGTAGGGTGGTTGGATGGGATAAAGCAAGAGGTTGTTATTTATGGAGTTAAACTGTCCTGTATTATTACTGGAGTTTTTCAGGAGTAAGTGCTTGGGGCTTTGCCTTTTCTTATGAACATTAGTGATATGGATGGGGCATAATTAGTAAATGAATATAGTTTGCAAATTGCTTTAAACTATTAGGTATTTCTAGCTTTTTTCAGATTGTTAAGCTATTATAGAATGACTTGGATTCAATTGGTAAGTTGGACAAATATTTGGCAAATGACCTTTTATTATTGTAAGTGCAAGGTAATGCATTGTAGCTTTCATAATTTAGATCATATGTTTCAACATAGATGATAACCCACAAAATAGTGTGATGGAGGAAAAAAGTATCTTGGCATAGTAGTAGATAAATTACTCAAGCCAGTGAGGCCTCACTTATAACACTTTGTGTAGATTTATGTTTAAGAATGGATATTGACTTATTAGAAAGGGTTATGAGTAAGGCTACTAAGATGTTTCCAGTAATAGAAAGGTTATCTTACTGTTATAAGCTGAGATTGTTCAATGTATATTTTCTTGAGAAAATTAATGGAAGAGACAATCTTATTAAAGTTTACATGGTTATTCAGGGATAAAGTAAATAAATGCTCCTGATTTCTTTGTTTTGAATTCTGAAGAGAATAGAAGAATAAGAGGACACAAGTTTATGATTTATAAAATACAGACCAGGCTCCAGTTCAGACAGTTTTATTTTTCTATCAGAATGATTAGCTTTCAGTTGTTGTAGAGGCTGGCACTTTATAATATATTAAGAGAATTGATTATTACCTGAAAAATAAAGGGTGGGTTTACTTTTCTTGTGTGAAGGGATAGCCTTGAAGGACCAAATAGTCCTTTGTCATACATATGTTAAATACAGGAGCCTAAATGCAGACATTTTCTTAGACAGATTATTATTATTATATTTTTTGGTTAGAGTTGCCTGATGATGTGGTTTGGGACAAAAATTTGGCATTTAACTTGATTAATCGGTATGATTGATTACCTTGGTTAGTGTCATGTAAAATAATCTATCAATCAAAATTTAATAGTTATATTTCCATTTCCGAAATCCCATAATTCAAGAATTAAAGAATATTTTTACTATCTTGCTTGTGCTAAAAGATGCGAATACTTTACGATAAGATTGTTTACATTAAATGTGTAGTATTAAAAAGTACAGGATAAAGTTAACTACTATTTGAAAGAGTGTTAAGTTACCTGCACTTGAGAGATAGTTATCAGGAAGATCTAAAAAATAAAGGGTTTGAAGTTAAGCACTATTTGAAACAGTATTTAGTTACACAGCATGTGACAGGTAGTTAACTGAGAAAAAATAAATTAAAAATAAAGGATTTGAGGTATTATTATCAGAAATAGCTTTGAGTTAACCATCACTTGATGGATTGTTACCAAGAATGAGTTAAAAATTAAAGAATTGAAGAACATTTAGTATCAAAAATAGTGTTTGGTTATCCAAAGCTTGACAACTAAATAGCTATTGAAGAAAGTTCATCATTTAATTTAAACTTAAAGTAAAATTTTGTGCATTTTTCTTTGATGATGTGAAAAATGACTCATGGATCTATTATACACTGGAAGTATTGTGGTTATTTGTTTTAGTTTACAAGAACGATAATTTATGTTTTTTATACCTTAGCCGCTAGTTTCAATTTATTACAGACTACAAAACCTTTTTTGTTTTTTTGATCAATTCTTTTACACTGTTTTTGAAAACGTAGTAGCAAGCAAAACATTGATTGATTTGCTTTTTAACACAAAATGGTGAATGAATTTCAATGGGAACTTAGCTGTTATATAAAAAGCTTTAGTTGAGCTGAATTGCATGTATTTTTTATTTTTGTCTTTTGCAAACTTGTGAGAATCAAGATTTATTTACTACTGAAGACCACTGTAGTTGGTATTGCAACAGAAAATTGTTTGGCCTATCATAGCCATACCTCTTCTATAGAAAAATTAAAAACAATTTTCAAACTTAAATATAGCCATATGCACCTCTCCACCAGAATAGTTGAGGACAAGTTTAGCTGTTTTCCTGTAACTGTAGTGACCTCAGCAGTTTTATGAATTTGGAATAATAAACATGGCTCATATTAAAACTGCTTATTAACTGTTTTAATCCACAGTAAAAAAATTTGAACCCAGGAAAGTGGGAAATGTTTTTTTTTTCTATGCATACAGTTGTTTTCTTTTATATATGTCTTTGAATTACAATATGGGTAGAGTGTCTAAAAATAAACCAATTAAGTTGTTTTACAGAGAATGGTAAAGTAGTGCTTTTTGTATATTTTTGTTCTAAGTTTCTCACCCTTCCTGTTTTTCTACCACAAACCAGAGTGAAGCATGAACCTTATACACAGTGATTCAGTAACCATTTTATTCTTAAATAAATCAAACCACTTGTGTTTTTGATAGGTTTGTCCCATCCATATATGTATTGACAAAAGCTAATTTTGTCTGAGTGCTATTAGATGCTCATCATTCATTAGAACAGAAATTAATTTCACTTAAAAAGTAACTATGAATTTTAACTTTTTTCTTGCATTTTGTATTGAATTATGTGTGTCTATCTATCTATATTTATACATAAATAAAATGGAGAGCAGTTTTTATACTGTAGTCTCTGTGAGAGGTATTGTCCTCTCACAGCTGGTTAACTAGACTTTTGTGTTCTAGTTACCAGTCCATAACTTGTCAGAAAGACAATGTAGAAAAAAATTAGCACAGAAATAATTGTTTTAAATACAAATATTTTCAAATTCATATAGCCACAACATATTTATGAACAAAAAATGGGAGGTACTTATTAAATATTATATTTTTTTTTATATAGTTTAAAACTTTGAATTTGGTTTTCTGTTTGAGACCACACATATTAGAATAGCTCAGTTTTATTTTTAGTTGATTTCTTGTGACTTAAGTGATCTCAACAGTCAGATTTCTTTGTGAACAAGTTTGCTAAAGATATGCTTTCCCTACTGATCTCTCTTCAACTTTTTTTATATTTTAATTATTTTATAATATGAATAATCCTTAAAACAAAAACAATTTTGTCTTTATTATTTAGAATTTAAAAGTGAAAAGGAAGTAAAAATTAAATGCAAATTTGTTTTATGTTGGTTGTAAGAGGGCTCTGGTAGTTGTTTTTGAGAACTTGCTTATGCTGAAGGTGGCATGAGTTGGTTCATAGAAATTGGGAATTGTCAATTTTAAATTTTTGAAGAATATTATACCAGTTGCTTTTTACTTGTTCACCTTTTAGACACAATGTGTTGGAAACATATGGTCATTAGTTTAAAAAGATTATATTTGTTAATGAAAATCAGTCATTGATAATTAATTTTCTCAGGTTTTAGTGTGTTAAAAATTATCTTATGGCTAAATAAAAATGGATATTTAAACTCTTTTTATCCATGATTGAACATTTTATTTGTTTCAACAAAGATTTTAAGTGTGACAGAAATTGCTCTCTTCATTAACTTTAATGGAATTATACCAGTTTTAGTTGTTATTCTGAGTGAAATTACTCTCAAAATTGTAATTTTTGTATTTACTACCTTAAATAGGGTTGCTTGTAACTATAAAACCATTCTATAGATACCTTTGTAGATGGATGTTATGTCAAATTTATTGCCGCTTGCTGGTTTACACTTGAACTTTTATCTTGTATTTTTGGAAAGAGTATCTCTTAAAGTGAAAAAAGAAAATATTCTTAATTTTCCATCTTAAGATATAACTATTGTACTGAATTCATGCAATAAAATTTTGTATTTCACTACTTATACTTCAATTTTTATGCAATAATTTAATATTTTCACTGTCATTGATATTGCCATGTGAGTTTGGAATTTTGTAACACTAGGAATAAAGGATATTTCAGGTTTAGATAAGTAATGAAATAGTAAAATGTGGTGTGTGTGTGTGTGTGTGTATCTAAAAATAAATCGGGTACTGGGAGAGTTTGTCTACAAATGTGGCAATGAAAAAGTTAAAAATGTTTCAGCTGTAGTGAACAAATAGCAAATTTTATAACCCGTATACAACCCTTATTCATATTTTCATTTACCAGACTAAAAATATAAATTTTCTAGAATTCCTACAGTTTCATTTAAACTAAGTAACTATTGAAAAAACACACTTTAGATCAATGTGTTCAGTGATTGTGAGTGAAATTTCATAAGTTGTCTTCTGTAAAATTTATCTGCTGCAGGTAGTGTGAGGTTTTGCATAATGTATGCATCAGTATACATGTTATTGTACATGTTTCTTGTAGTACTTGTTAACAGTTACAAGTCCATGTACTAGTAAGTAGCCTTGTAAGTATCATGCTCTTATTTGAAATTCTATGTGGTTAATATTTCTTATGTATATAACATATGCATACACCATACTATTAGAGTGTCTCCACAAGCACTTGAATGTGGGTAATGGATTCAAATCACCACAGGAAGGTTTGAATTAGAACAGCTGTTCTGTGTATATATATATGGTTAGTGGCATATTTGCATAGCATGTTTTACTTGTTTATTTTTCATTACAGTTCATTTATAATCTGTAAGTGTATACATTTTTATGTAAACTTTTATTTTTCTCCCATGGATGTAAATGAAGAAGGAAGACACCATATTTACATGCTAGTATGGCCCAAGATATTGACATAGCAAGTCTACCTCCAGATGTCAGAGACAAGCTTGCTGAGTTGGAACTGGAACTCTCAGAAGGTAAGTGACCACAGTTTTACTTAATGGTAGAAAAACTAAATGTCCAGAAGTTTGCTTAGGCTTAATTACTGGAGACCAGATGAAGTATGTCTGTCCTGTATTTATCTCAGAAGAAATTGGATGCCTCACACAATGTAACTAGAAAGATATCCAAAGCTTATGATAAATTTGTTTCAGCATGATTAATAATTTAAAACTTAAAGAAATTTAGTTTTAATAAATAAAATACTGAACTTTAAAGTAATATTTTTTGTCAGTGTGGAGGTAGAAAAATTGACAAAAATACTCAAAGCAGGAATCATGATGTTTCCTCTCATGAAACTTGGTTGAGGCAACTGTTAGAGTAGCTGATGGTTTGCATGGTATGGTTGAAGTGTATTTTTCTTGCTAGTTGTTTCCATGTGTTGATACCCTGTGACTCATCATTGTCAGTTATGTAGAAAAGTGATAAATTACCAGAGTGGAAACCAATGAAGCTTACTTTGTATAGATAGTTGAATAACATGCAAGACACTGATTTTATAATTGGTTTTTCAGTGTTAAAAACATTTTCTTAAGCTCATTTCATGGATGGTAATTCCTGTAATGTAGCAGTCAACTAAAGACAAGCTAGTGTAAATATGGGGATTGTTAGTTTAAACACATACATGCATAATTATTATTTCTGAAGCTATACTGTTGGAGTCACTAAGTGAATTAAGAATTGGAAGAGATACCATCATTTAATACGTTGATACTTGTATAAACATTACATTACCTAGATTAAATGGCATTATATATTATATTAGAACTTTTGTTAAATTATATAATAGATGTAATGTAATACCTGATATAGTACCATTTTTTTTACAAATAATAATTCTATCATCAAATAATAATTATGGATTTGCACATAGGATGGTTTTAAAATTGTGTGTCAACTATATTGTGTCTCGATTGTTATTTAGAACTGAAACTTGTAAGAATAATGATGTATTATATTTAGTTTAGTATTTGGAATTGAAATGTGTGGAATACTTCCAGATATTGTAATCTTCTTTTAAGGATTTGCATTTAGAATGAACATCTGAAGTTTGATGGAACTACTACTGTATCTTTGACCTTGCCTTTTGACCCTAAAGTATTTTGTATGTGAAATATGTAAAGGTATTTCTATTTTTGTAGTTGAGTGGTATGAATTTAGTATTAAAACATCAAGCTTTGACCATTTATTACAAATTCATGAGGTGTTTTCAAATGTAAATGTACCATTTAATAACCATATAAAGAAATAAAGGCTTAGAAAAGTTGATGGACATTTTTTATTTTTTTGGGAACAAACATGCTTTACTATAAGGTTAGGGTGGATTTGCTTAATCTGTACTGTACCATAAAGCAAGCAACAGTAAGTATATGTAAAATATCTTAGACTCAGTAATGGATGAGTCAAGCTTTATAGAATGGGAGGAAAAAATGAAACAGTAGACAGAAATATCAAACAAATATGTTTGCATTTTAAAAAGCTGAGCACAGATATTGAAACAAAACAACATAGAAGTTGTTTGTACATGTACTTCCATCACTTCAGGATTGTAACAATAATAAAATGACTATCATATTCATCCATCAGAACTCTTAATTCTATAGATGATATTGGGGTGGTAGTGAAGAAGAAATATTTATTTGTTAGAAACACAAACATTTATTTACATATAAAGTTAGTCAATATCTAAAAAGCTAAATATTTTGTAATACATTTCATTGTTTCTATTGAAATCATCAGCTAGGCATTTGATGTCCAAATTGTCATATCTTCTCCAAAGACCTTAGCATCATCAGATTGTTCAGACATTTCTGATTCCCTATACTCAGCAAGTGACTTGGTGACTTAAAGATTGTTCAGCTGAAGTATACTGGTTGGGCAAAATATATATTTTGCCAACACAATGTGTTGATGAGGCTGTATTGCTAAACAAGGATGGAAGCTCTTGTATGGAGTAGCAAAGAAAGTATGAAGATTGGATCACACATTTATTAGGCAAATTTTTGTATTGAATAATTTTTTGTAATTAAAATTCATTATTCTACCCCTTAGTATGAATTCTCTGCCGTGATTGGGTGAGATCGCATCATGAAGTATGAAACATTTTCCAGTTTTGCCTTGAAACCTAGGCAACAAACCGCATTAGCTTGCCTGGTTTTCAAGGCCGTTTCCATGTGTGCGTAACGCCGTGGCAGAACTTTGTAGACGAGTTTTTTGCAGCACAATGAAAACATACTGATTCATTTAGGCCTAATTTACAACGTCAGAAATCTTGCCGCTATTCTAGGCAAATTTTGTGTGGAAGTTAGACGGGTACGTACTTTATACGTTTATTGCCATGATCACATGATTGGCTGTTATATGTTGACAGTTGAACAACTTTTAAATCTTATTTTTATTTAATGATTTATGAAATGAGATCAAGAATCATCAATGAAATGTTAAAACTAAGACATGAAAGTTGCTAATTAATCAGATTTTAGTAAAATTGAAAACGGTTACTGTCTGGTGATTGCGGGCAACAAAATGATTTGTTGTCCTCATAACCAATCAATAATTGCTCAAAGTTAAACAGCAATATAATTTTCGTTGAACTTTCATTTGGGCAATAAAGTCGTTTCTTAAACGAAACGAAAGTCACAACCTTTAAAGAAATTCTGCTGTAGTAACATCAACTTGGCAAGGATGACATTATAGTTTGAGTGTTTCAGTTGGATTTTTCATAGGGAAGATAAGTTAATAGTTACTTTTAAACAGACAGACGCCACAGTATAATTTCTTGATGGCGTTGGGTCGGGTAATAGAGTAACAAACGTAACGGAGAGTCGATAGAATCAATTGGTGTATATTGAGTGTTGAGAAGAAGAAAAAATATTCCCTACTGTAAGAGTATAAAATATGTTTTTGGTGTGTTGCGATCATTGTTGCGAAGAAAATTATTTCATCATGGGATTTTAAATTGTTTTGAAGCGTCGTACTAATTCCACCCAAATGTTTCAACTTGGAGCAATGGTTGAAAAATCGTTATTTCTCATTATTACAAGTTACAGTAAAACTTGTGTATTTGAGAATGATCGCACCAGTGATCGAAACGTCGTACCTGTTCAAACACAAATCTTACTTACTGTAAAAGCTGTAACTTGTAAGAAAATAATATTTAATCAATAAGTAAACTGAAAACAAAACTATTTATTTCTCATTGTTTCAACTCCCATGAGAGATGACCAATATTGAAACCATGGAAACCAGCACCATGGCTCTGACTAAAAAAACAAAAAAACTTTTTAGTTAAGCATGTAATTGTATAGATTTTCGATCATATCTCAATCCTGCGTCAATATTTTTTATTTACCCGCACAAGTTCTAACTTTTTGAGCATTGATTATGTCGTAAAAGTATTTGGAGGTGAACTTTCCTCGTGCCATTCAAATATTCTCTTTGCTCGAAATTTTGATGATTTGAAAAAATGATTGTTTCGTAATAGGTATTGATTCATGACAGGGTTTCAAAACGCTTCTATTCTAAGTTTTTGTTTATCTTTAGCATGATTTGATTTAATGAAAAACGTTTCAATTAAACGACATTGGGGTTTTACGTTAAGTACCTATTACTCACTAAACGATGATGTTGGTAATTTAATAGAGTTTGAGTGATTGGCTAATTGCCAGGGGATATTTACAACCAACTGACAACAATTCACTGTGTCAAACATAAACCAATAATAATTTTTGAAGCTCGTGGAAATTAACAAGAAAGAGGGTCTTAAGATTTTTAACAAATTCTCTAGAAATTTGAATTTGCCAGTGAACACATTTTTAATATTCTTTAAGTTTCTTAACCAGGTAAGTTCAAGAATGTAATTTTATTCGTAGCACTAATTGATTAGTTGTTTTAAGACGATATCATCATTTACTTTTGAGAGATTAGTAATTGTAGTTGCATATACTGATTTGGTATTAACTTAACATTCATGTAGATGAATTAAATCATATTGTGTCTTTATTAAACTTCACCACCAACACATTTCAAATATATTACTTGTATGATTTTTTTTTAAATATATTTTACCAGCACGACTACTATTAAAACGGTACAGAATGTGAAATATGACATTGGAATTTCATGGTAATAGGGACTGCTTTCTTTGTTAAGAAACAAAGCACAATATTATACCAGTGTGCGTATTTATCTAGACATAGTTGTAAAAACCTGTTACATGGAAATTAATCCACATGCCCACGCTTTTGGGGGAGGTAGTGGTGTAGAAACATCAGCTGGAGTGTATGGTTCATCGTCTGCTAAAACAAATATAACGACGACGATGTTGATATTAACTATATTGTAAGTTTCTAGTTATTATTAACCAAAGTTGAAACTTACATGAGAACATACAAAATGTAAGTTTGTCGTAGAGACACTCTGTTTCACATTTCCATCCGTTGTTTTCCTTTTGTGTGTGAAGAATATTCGAAGGATTTTCTCACTTATGGCTTGCCTTTAAAGACCTCAAAAATGCAATAAAAATACCTAATTAAGAGAACGTAGTTAAAAAGTATTAATTATGGCTTAAGCCTTCCAAAAATCACACCATTGTTAAACTGTAAAATAGGTCAAACAGTATATTTTTCATTTTTTTAAAAGCAACTTCAATTCTGTGCTGTAAAATAATAGTTGAAAATAACAGGAATCTTGTAATTAAACTAGGCTAAAAACAGTAAACACACACACACTTATATGTATGTGTGTTTATATATTCAAATTATTATTCGAAACTTGTTTATAAACAAAACTGAATTTATGCATCAGTATTTATATCGGGAGAACGTATAATTGAATGCGTACACATAGCTCTTCTTAGCAAAGAAAGCGTAACGTATAATACGACATTATGCTTGTGAATTTGTCTCAGTTGATAAATAGCTGTGGAAATTTTTCATTTACTTGTTGTTTTTTATTTTCAGTGTTTATTACAACAAATATAACGTGCTAGAAACTCAAAACTATGTTACAACATATAAAAGCGTGGTTAAACTGCTCATGAAATACCGTGATACGTCTAGTATAGCATCTTAAGCCTATTTTTCCAAGCATAACTGAAATGCGTTTCGCTTGCGTGGAAAAGCATTCAAAAGTAAACAGACGCACAGACACAAGTTGGCGTCACCACGAGCTTGGTGTACGTGGGAAAGTCTAAGCACGTTAAGGTAACAGGTCAGATAAATGTTTTGAAGTGTTTAATATTTTTCGTTTTTGCAAGACCTTTTCGAAAGAAGAATCCGCGTGTTTACGTTAATTGGAGAGCTCGGCGTTACTGCGGTGTGAGTCAGTTTCACTATCAGTTATATGATGAGATATTCGGAAGTTTGTTCAACCAGTGGACTTTCAATGTTTTGCGCACTCAGTTGCTAATGTTTCAGTCGCCCCTGTGTGACGTAGTTTGAACTCTGCATACCGTTAATTCGATTTTGTTTTTTTTCCAGGAAGTATATAACAGCTCGTCGTGTAAATGTAATGCTTACATGTGTTCGTAAATTGTAAACACTCAATGTTTGAATAATAATTGTTGATTATTGAGTACGGTATACAAAAAGTGGGCCGTACTAAAGGGCCGAGACCTCACACAAATAAGCTAAACTTCTCATCTCACACTGGAGTGTGCATGGTTTTTTCAGCTTGTATGTATCAGTGAATGAATGAAAAGTTTCCAGGAGTACGTTGATAATTTAAGGAAAGTTAAGAATAACCTTTAAAGAAACATAAGAAAAAATTGTTGTTGAACCCTGAAAGCATACTCAGAACGTTAACTTCAAACTTGATAGAAGGTCCCAAAATGAAAAGTCAAGGAACTGTAAATGTTATGCTAATTTTTTTTGAGTATTTTTAAAGTTTCTTTATGCCAGAAAATTATAACGTGTAAAATGAAATTGTGATACAGAGCCGAATCAACGTCAGGCCTACCTCTTATTTCGAAATGCAGTATGTTGTGTCTTGTGAGACGTATACTGCACTTATACCCATTGAAATATGCCACAGTTATGCTTTGTGACTAAATATATGTTTCTTTCTATCAGTAACATCGATTTTCTTTTAATCCTTGAACTTGTACATTCTGGCAACAAAGAGGCGTGTTTTATACATGTCTCAGGTCCCATGTGGACCGGTTACGGGCTGAAGTAAAACAATAAAACAATTAAGCGTACTGATGTATTTACATCTCTTTACCTCTCTGTGTCTGTCTGTCAGTTTGTTTGACTCTGTT